TTTTATCTTTTTGAGACAGGAGACAGGGTCTCCCTGTAGCCACAGCTGGCCTGGGAACTCACTGTGTAGACCAGGCTGGCCTCAATCTCACAGAGATCTACCTGCCTCTACCTCCCAGGTCCTGGGATTAAAGGCGTGTGCCACCACTGCTGGATTACTTATTTTTTATGTGTCTGAGTGTTTTGCCTTCATATATGTAAGTGCACCATGTGTGCAAACCCACAGAGACCAGGAGAGGGCTTCAGATCCCCCCCAGAACTGGAGCTATGGACAGTTGCTAGCTGCCATATAGGTGGTGGAAAAATGAATCCAGGTCCTCTGCAAGAGCTGCCGGTGCTCTTAACTGCTGAGCCATTTCTCCAGCTCTGATTTTTTAAAATTGGGGGGGGGGGGCTGTGTGTCTGTGGAGGCCAGAAGAGGGTGTCAGATCCCCTGGAATTGGAGTTAGAGGCAGTTATGAACTGCCTGATGTGGGTGTTAGGAACCTAGGTCAGGTCCCTTGCAAGAGCAGCATGTGCTCTTAACTGCTGCACCGTCTCTCTCCAGCTCCTCTCTCGGTTTTAATGCCTCAGGATTCTAGGTACAGCTTAGACCAGAGTCTCTCATGGGGCTTCAGCCAGACCTGTTGTGTCCTCTGAAGGCCTGTCTTTGGAAGAATCTGCCCATGGAGATGTGTCCTGTTGAACTGGGATCATTTCTCAGTCATGTTGTCCTTTCTGTGGTGAACCCCCATTATAGGTGATGTATTTTCAGCAAGTAAGCAAGAGCCATTGCCCAGGATTGTAACCTGGTCTCAAAAATGATATTCCATTATCTTTAGTCTTGAGTCAGTCAGTCCAGCTGTGACAGGAGCAGAGGCTTACACAAGGGCCAGCGTACCAGCAGGTAGGGATCTGTGACAGCCATCTTTGAGGCTGCCATCCATAGGACTTCAAACACTCTCATGTCCTTGTCAGTGTTTGATCATATCCCAGGGGCAGGTCTTTTTTTAAAAATGCCTTTTAGAGGCTGGAGAGATGGCTCAGCGGTTAAGAGCACTGGCTACTCTTCCAGAGGTCCTGGGTTCAGTTCCCTGTGCCCACATCATGTGGTTCACAACTGCCTATAACTCTAGTTCCAGGGGATTGGATGCCCTCCAACTGATCCTGCATGCACAAGGTGCACATACACATACAAATAAAACAGTGTCAAAATTGATTGTTCTTGTCATTTGCATAATCATCCTCTGTCTCCTTTGGGCATGGTCTTCTGTTTCTATGAACTCTGCTTACTCTTTGGACAAATCCTGCACACACTTATAGAGTGCTAAAACCCCTCACAGGTTTGGGGCAGACTGAAGAAGAGGGAAGCATGTGAGATTGTAGGAGTCATCTCTAAAGGGTGGAATGTAGGGACTCAGCTTGGTCTGACCAAAGGTTTCTTGGGTCATAACCATGGTTGCCCCAGAGTAGCCCTGATCTGGTATTCTCCCATACAGTTTTCAAGTATACCATAAACAAGAAAAACCATTAAAGTGGTATGCCAACGCAACTGTGCCTAAGGTTCTTGATACCAACTATGTAGATTCTGTGTGAAGTCACTTTGTCCTGAACAAAATTTTTTAAAAAAATGTGGCAGGGGCGGGGAGGACTGGAGAGATGGCTCAGCAGTTAAGAGAACTGAGTGCTCTTGCAGAGGACTCAGGTTCAATTCCCAGCACCCACATGCTGGCTAACAGCCGTCTGTAACTCCAGTTCCGGGGGAATCCAAAGCTGCCTCCTAACCTCCGTGGGCATTGCATGACGCAGGTACACTTACAAACATGCAGGCAATACACTCATGCACATGGCAGCTATGAACCATCCTTAACTCCAGTTCCAGGGGAATCCAAAGCCCTCTTCTGACCTCTGCTGCATTGCATGACACGGGTGCACTCACATACATGTAGGCACACTCATACACATAAAATAAAAATAATAAATAAAATATATTTTTTTTTAATTTTGTATTTTTTTTTTTAGAACAAGCTGTGGGTTTTATTACTTTTAAAAGCCTCATGTTTATTTCACTTTCTGACTCTGCTTGTGCCTTCAACACTTTCACAATGATTTTCTGCTCCTCAATAAGGAAAGCATGCTTGATCCTGTCATGGACACATTCAGCACACATAGAACCACCATAGGCCCTGCTGACATGTGTTTTTGTTTTGGACAATCTCTTAAGGACTAAGGTCTTACAGCGCGAACCCCTCGAAGTCTTCCTGGGCACACACCACATGCGGATTTTGGTGCTTTCCCAACCTTCTTGCTATAAAGGTAAACAATCCTGTTACTAGAGGTTCAGGACAGCCTAGTTTTGTTAGAGGCTTTATTGTAGGAAAACCTACAACAGTATGTCAAACATACGTCCCTTTTTTTTATTTTTTATCTATAAATGTTTTGCCTGCTTGTATGGAAGTGCACCCAAGTTGTGCAGTACCCGTGGAGGCCAGAAGAGGGTGTCGGATCTCCTAGAATTGGAGTTAGGGACAGTTGTTAGTTGCCATATGGGTGCTGGGAATCGATCCAAGGCCCTCTGGAAGAGCAACCAGTGCTCTTAACTGCTGAGCCATCTCCCCAGTCCTGAACAATTTATAAGTTGCCTCCTTCTGAACAAATCATGGAGAACCAGTGGTTTTGCTTTCACCCTTGACTACATTTCTGGCAGCAAATTGCTAATAAATTGTACTTTTGCAGTCCTGCATCTGTCTGCCCGTTTCTTTTTTTAAAAAAGTTTTTATATTTGGCCAGGTCTGGTGGCACACGCCTTTAATCCCAGGGTTCCAGGGGGCAGAGGCAGGTGGAGTTCTATGAGTTCAAGGTCAGCCTGGTCTTCATAGTGTGTTCCAAGCCAGCTGGGGCTACAGGGAGACCCTGTCTCAAAAAGACCAGAAAAAAAAAAAAGTTCTCTCTTTTTTTTTTTTAATTTTATGTGTATGAGTGTATGGCGTGCATGTATGTGAGTGCACCCATGTTGTGCAATGCCGCGGAAGTCAGAAGAGGGCTTCAGATTCCCCTGGAACTGGAGTTATGGGCAGTTCGTAGCTGGCATGTGGGTGCTGGGATTCAAACCCAGGTCCTCCACAAGAGCAGTCAGTGTTCTTAACCACTGAGCCATATCTCCAACCCCAAGTTTTTTTTTTATATAATATTTATTTTTTCTTTTTTTAAATATATTTTAATTGAGTTTTTGTGGATTTCATACAATGCATCTTAATCATACTTACCACCCACCCCCTTTATTTATTTATTGTGACAGGGTCTCACTATGTAGCCCTGACTGGCCTAGAATTTGCTATGTAGACTAGGTTGGCTTTGAATTCAGAGATCTGCCTGTCTCCACCTCCTGATGCTAGGATTAAAGGGATCTGCCACCATTCCTAGTCTTTACTTATTTGTGTGTGTATGTGTGTGTTCACTCATGCCATACCATGAATGGAGGTCAGATGACAACTTGAAGGAATTGGCTCTTCCACCATGTGGGTTCCCAGGACTAAACTCAGTTCATCAGGCTTGGCAGCAAGCACTTTTACTCACTGGGCTGTCTCACTGACCCTGCTTCTTTCTTTAGCTTCATAGCACCTTGTGGGGAGTTGTCATACACCAGGAATAAGTTTTTCCAGAATTGGAGTTACTAATATGATCATTGCTTATAGTGGTCCTGGGGCTGTTCCACCAAGTCTTTTGGGGGCTCCCCCCCCATATTTTGTTTTGTTCCCTGTGACAATGACCTGCATGGGTCAGTCACCTGTCTCTTTCTTACCGCTTTCCTCTTGAAGAACCCATGTGGTTGCTTGGTTGGAGAACAGCAGTGTGACAAAGCAGATAGTATTAAAGTCACATGGAGACAGGCCTGGTGATTCTGGCCACGTGAATGAGAACTGCTTGGGGTGTCATGTTGGAGCTGGATTCAGATCCAACCTTGAACTTGTTTTATGTTTAACAATGTTTGTTGCCAAGGCACCATGATATAGTACTTCTGTTCTTCTTTCACCAATCCTGGCACTTGGCCCACTTGTCTTTCTTTTCTGTCTTACATCCCCTGGCCATCTCCCTGCCGTTAGTCCTCCATGTTTTGCTCAGTCTGCTCCACAATACTGACCTACCTTAACAGGACATGAGTTGTGTATGTGTGAGTCCTTGAGACATATTTGTTTGGAGTCAGATTTTCTTGAGACTTAAATACCCTTCTACACAAAGCTCATTCACCAGGCCCCAGTGCCCTGCTGAAACCCTTACCCCCGTGAAAATCAGGTACCTCCCCGCTTTGTTCTGTATCTGTATATCATCATTAGGACTTGAACTTGATGTTAAGGTGCCTCCATTCTTTGACCGTCAGAGGTCCAGTACTAACAGCTGGCCCTCATGCTGATGCTAGCTCCTTCCAAAGTCAAGCAAGCTGCTAAGCTCTCATTGTGACGGGGCTGCTGCTTCCCATTCAGGTCGACTTGCTCTTCACCAGCATCTCTTTGCTTTCAGGTTGTTGGTGTGAAGCCGATAAAGAAGAGGCACTTTGTGAGAAGAGTGTTTCTGTAGGAGCGCCACAAATCAGGACTTCTGAATCAAGTCTATTGATCCAAAAATCCCACTCACGTGAGATGTACGACTCACTCAGAAAGATTATTTTGCACCTGTCTGAACAGCATGGCTCATACCCTATGCAGAAGCTTCACAGATGTAGGCTATATGGGAGTGAATTTTTATTCACTGAAAAACTTCCCCAGCACCAGCAGCAACACTGTGGAGAGAATCCCTTCAGAGAGGATCATAGAGAGACCTCATTTGTGAAGAGCTGTGCAGCTCATGTGTTAGGGACACCCTGTACAGGCAGAGAAGAAGGGATGGACTTGCTGGACAACTCTGGCCTCTTTCAGCACCAGACGCAACGCACAGTGCACAATGAGGTGAGTCTACACAAAAAGGTTGAATGCATGGAGCCTCTCACACACAGCTCCAGGCTTGGGAAACACCAAGAAGATAATGATGGACAGATGACACTCAATTGCAGTGATGACGGGAAAGCCTTCCTGAGCACTTTCACTGTTTTTGATAACCAGATACCTCATACTGAGGAGAAACCCTTTAGATGCCTGCCAAGTGGCAAGGTGCGCAAGGAGACCTCAACTCTTTTTAATCACAGAAACGTTCAGAGTGGAGAAACATCTCATGTGGGTAAGGAGTGTGGAAAGCCATTCGTTCACCTGTCCCACCTAAAAATGCACCAGAAATTTCACACTAGAAAAAGATACTACACATGTAATGAATGTGGGAAGATCTTCAGCCGCAAAGACACACTTATTCAGCACCAGAGAGTTCACACAGGAGAAAGACCTTTTAAGTGTAGTGAATGCAACAAAGCCTTCAGCCGTAAAGACACCCTTGTTCAACACCAGAGATTTCATACTGGAGAAAGACCTTATGCATGTAGTCAGTGTGGGAAATTCTTTAGCCAAAGTTCCCACCTGATTGAGCATTGGAGAATTCATACAGGAGCCAGGCCTTACGAATGCATTGAGTGTGGGAAATTCTTCACCCATAAATCCAGCCTTCTTAAACATCGGAGAGTCCACACTGAAGCAAGGTCGTATGTTTGCAGCAAGTGTGGGAAAGCCTTCAGCTGCAAAGACACACTTGTTCAGCACCAGATAATTCACACTGGTGCAAGGCCTTATGAGTGCAGTCAATGTGGGAAGGCCTTCAGCCGCAAAGACACACTTATGAAGCACCAGAAAATCCACACTGGAGAAAAGCCTTATGAATGTGGAGAATGTGGAAAATTCTTCAGACATAGCTCCAACCTTATTGTACATCAGAGAATTCATACTGGAGCCAAGCCTTATGAGTGCAGTGAATGTGGGAAATGCTTTAGTCACAATTCTAGCCTCATTCTTCATCAGAGAGTTCATTCTGGAGCAAGGCCTTATGTGTGCACTGAATGTGGGAAAGCCTACATTAGTAGCTCCCACCTTATTCAGCACAAGAAAGTTCACACTGGCGCAAGACCTTATGAGTGCAGTGAATGTGGGAAATTCTTCAGTCGTAATTCCAGCCTTGTTCTCCATCAGAGAGTGCACACTGGAGAAAAGCCTTATGTCTGCAGTGAATGTGGGAAAGCCTATAGTAGAAGGTCCTATCTTGCACGGCACCAGAAAGCACACATCAAAGAAAGGCCTCATCCTTACGACAGTTTTAGTGACCCTTTAGCTGTATCTCTTAAACTTGTTTAGTATTAAAAAAAATCATGCAAGAGAAAGGCCTTATGAAATCTGCCATTTCGAGTTTTTCAAGCTAATAGTCACATTAGAACAAAGTTCTTTGATTACGCTTTGTGGGGCAACTATCATCCTACAAGTTAACCTTGTCCAGTCTCACATCTAATCTGGGGAGAGTCCCGGGAAGCATCCCATGTGAGATATGTTTGACTTTCTAAACTGTCCACAGCTTTTTAAATTTTTATTTTTAGACAGGATCTCACTGTGTCGTCCTGGCTGGCCTGGAACTCAGAGAGCTCAGCCTGCCTCTTCCAAGTGCTAAGATTAAAGGCATACACCACCTTGTTCAGCTGGCCGGGGCTCTTGATTGAGTTATTTCTCCAGCAGTGTTTGTGTTGGAAGCCATCTTAAATTACTAGCAGTTTGTGTCACTCATTTGTTCTATGAAGGCATATATTTGCTTGCCTTTCCCTACAGAAAATCATGAATTTTCTGAGAATGTAGAGGGTCCCCTTCAAATTAGATTCTAAGTGAACATCCAGCTTTGTCTAAATAGATCTTAGCTAAAGTCAGCAGATTTCTAGACATTTCTTCATGAAAAACCTTGCAATAGTAATGACTTGCCAGATCCCAACCTTGTAACTGCCGTCTTGTGCTGTTGCTTTCTTTTGTTTGTTTTTGTGAGACATGGTCTCCCTGTAGCTCCAGCTAGCCTGGAACTCGCTCTCCCAAGTGCTGGGATTAAAGCTTGCACCACCGTGCCCAGCTGCTGTTGCTTTATAAAGACAAAGGCACATTATGACATCCTTTATTGGTGGTTCTGTTTACATTGTGGAGTGGATTGAGAAAGAAGTTAGGTTCTGCCAAGATGGAATGAGGGTTACTCTGTAGACACAACGTTTACCCCACAAAGGGACACAAGAGAGCAGAGTTCTCATTCTAATTTGGCTCAATGTACCCTGTTGCTGTTGACCTACTAGAAAAGTCTGCAGTTCCAAATTCTGTATTTGATTGTAAGGTGGTCTTGTGAGCCCAGTGCTCACCCCGAGGTGATAGTTGGTGTGAAAATCTCCTGCACTCCTGGAAGCAACGTGAGTTGGGACCTTGAATGTCACAAATTCCCCAGCGTGGCTGAGAGGTTGCTATCTCTTGGACCTATACAGTGCAGTAGCAAGCCTCTCATATCCTGGCTCCCATAGGCAACTGCCACTGATCTTTAAAGACCTACAAAGCAAGGTGTGACTCATAAGTGGTACAGGAACACTGAAATAATGGGGTGGGGTAACCGGCAGACAAAAATTTGTTTATTCTAAAGGATCATCTCCAAATGTCCATGCATTTATGGCCATGTGGAGTGAGGATTTACAAAAATTCTCTAAGTCTCTGGATACTTGTATCTTCTGTGGCCAAGGCCACTATCAAAGTAGATGATCTCCCTCTTCTGACCTCTTGGTGTATTGCACAGTACAGGTGCACTTACATACATGCAGGCAAAACATACATAAAATAAATTTTTTTTAAAAATGAATTAAAATGTCAGGCGTGGTGGTGCACACCTTTAATCCCAGCACTTGGGAGGCAGAGGCAGGCAGGTCTTTGTGAGTTTGAGGCCAGCCTGGTCTACATAGTGAGTTAGTTCCAGGACAGCTGGGGCTACACGGAGACCCTGTCTCAAAAAGACAAAAAAAAAAAAAAATCATTCTAATTACTACATGAGATAATTGACCCCATACGTACTGGCAGAGTTAAGCTTGATGTATTTTCCGTGTTTCCTCTCTTAAATAATATCCAGTTGTTTTCTGTGGAAAATGATATTTAGAAGACATGCCATTGAGATTTTTTGCAAGAAGAGTGTGAAATTCCAGAACATTGTGCTGTTTGAGTTGCTTGAGATTCATTACTGTCAAAGAGCAAAGTGTCCCAGCATCCAACACGTCTTCCTCAATGCCTGGAATGACTGACATGCCTTTTCCTTTGACATTCAAAAGCAGCACTAACCCTATATTCATTGGTATGATGCAGCCCAGTTATAGGTAGAACCACCATCTTGTGGCAGAACCTATATTTTCCTTTGTCTCATATACCTTTCTGCCTCTCCCCTCTCATTAGTGTCCAATTTCGAATTTTTGTGTCTCCAGAAAATTTGGTTTTTTTAATATCTATTTAAAATTTTATGATTATTATTAGTGTGTGGACCCATGTCAATGTGGAGATCAGATGACAAGCTGTGGGAGTTGGTTCTCTCCCTGCACCATATAGGTCTTGGGGTTCAAACTTGCATCAGGCTTGGTAGCAAGCACCTTTACCCACTGAGCCATCACACTGGCCCCCAACAATGCTTTAAAGAGAAAACCCACTTTCTATATGCACTTGTCCTGCAGTTCAGCCCCCGGAAGCTGAGGCCCAGAGACACCCTCACTGAGGATAAAGTCTGGCCTCCCGCAATTCAACTCCTCTTGTCTGGACTGGGGTTAGTAGGCTGTGTGGGCCATGGGGAAAGAATTTAAATGACCACTCTGCCTAACTCGAGGCAGGGTAGGAGGCAGCCTTGCTGTCCCAGGCCTGGTGCCTCTGGCTACAACCAACATTTGGCAAGAAAATACCTTTGAAGCAAAGTCAGCTGTGGGGCGTCGCCACCATCTGCTTCTACTGGGTCTCAAGGGCCACCATGAACCCGCAGCTGCGATTGGATCCCAGTGGTGGCTGAAGTAGGCTGCCGAATAGGTAGGCAGCTTCCTGGGTCCCAGATGATCTGCTAGACACTCCTCTAGGCGGTCCAGCAGCAAAAGGCAGGGCGCAGGCCCTCAGGCCTCAGGGGTGGAGGCTAGCTGTTGGGAGAAGCCCAAGAGTTGAGAGTGGATATTGGAATCGAACCTTCTGCAGCCCTAAGGCTCGCCATGCAGCATCCGCTGATGGGGCCTCTTCCGTCATCCCTATCACTGCTCCTGAAAATCAGTTTTTAACAGCTTTATTGATGCTTGATTAATGAGCAGCACATTACAAATATGTAACGTAAGGCCGGGTGTGGTGGCGTACGCCTTTAGTCCCAGTCCTCGTGGGTCAGAGGTGGGCGGATTTCTGTGAGTTTGAGGCCAGCCTGGTCTACAGAGCAAATTCCAGGGCAGCTGGGACTACAGGGAGACCCTGTCTCAAAAAGACACCCCCCCAAAAAAAAGACCAAAATAAATAAATATGTAAAGTATAAAATGTATGCTTTTCCAGGATGTGTATGTACCTGGAAAATCGCCATAATCAAGATCACGGGCATTCTGGGCTGGAGATACACGGGTCAGCTGTTCAGAGCTCATACTGCTGTTGCAGAAGACTGCTCCCTGCACCTATGTCAGAGCACTCACAACCATCTGTAACTCCAGCTCCAGGGGATCAAATACCCTCTTCTGGCCTCTATGGGTACCCACACACTTGTCATACACACATACACATATAAATAAATAAAAATTAAAAATCTTTTAAAAGATCATGTGCATACCAACACAAAATGATTTCTTGTGTTCCTTTCTAACCCTACCAGTCCTTCCTAACCCATATTGACAAACATCAGCATTTTGTATAGTTAAGCAGCTGAAATCATGGTGTGTGGGCTCTGTAGGGCTCTGCCTTTTGGTTTGCTGTTTTTTGTTTTGTTTTTTCTTTTTGGTCTTTTTTGAGACAGGGTCTCCCTGTAGCCCCAGCTGGCTTGGAACTCACTATGTAGACCAGGCTGGCCTTGAACTCACAGAGATCCTCCTGCCTCTGCCTCCTGAGTACTGGGATCAAAGGCATTCACTACCACACCGGGCTAAAGTTTTGTTTTTTTGAGACAGTTATCTCCCTGTAGCATCAGCTGGCCTGAACTCAGTATGTAGACCAAGCTGGCTTCCATCTCACAGAAATCCACACTCCTCTGCCTTCCAAGTACTCAGATTAAAGGTGTGTACCACCACACCTACCGGGACTCTCCCTTCAAAACAAAACGGGCTACAGAGACCGCTCAGTAGTGAAGAGCACTTGCTGTTCTTTCAGAGGACCTGAGTTTGATTCCCAGCACCCTCACGGTAACTAATAATTGTAACTCCAGTTCCAGAACCCTCTTCTGACCTATGGTGCCCTTACATACATGCAGACAAAGCACTCATACAATTTAAAAAATATACATTTCCAAAATCCAAAACCATTGCTATTTTTAGATTAGTCCACCCTGTGGAACAGTGTTTAATTGTATACCATGTGTTTAAAATCTGTTGAATGGATGTTTGAGTTGTTTCTAGCATTTGGCTATTACAAATAAAGTTTCTATGAGGATTTGTATTCAGGTTGCACGAGAATAACATTTCATTGTATGTTATGGGCTGTGTTTTATTTATCCATTCACCGATTAAAAAATACATTAACTGGCCGGGCGTGGTCAAGCAAGCCTTTAATCCCAGCATGTGGGAGGCAGAGGCAGGTGGATCTCTGTGAGTTCAAGGCCAGCCTGGTCTACATAGAGAGTTCCAGGACAGCTGGGGCTACAGGGAGACCCTGTCTCAAAGAGATAAAAAAAAAAGAAAAGAAAAATATATTAAGTGCTGTCAGGAATTGGCAATCATGAGTAAATGTGCTACAAATGTTTGTGTGCAGTTTCTCCCAGGACTGAAGTTTTTCAACTCATTTACATACATGTCAAGGAGTGACTTGCCGAGGAATGCATGAATGGTATGTTTAGTCTGATAAACTGCCAAGTTGTCACCCAAAGTGGCTGAACCACCACTGGTGGATACAGCTCCACCAGTGCTTGACCAGCACGCATGAGGGCCTAGGTTCAATACCTGATAGTGAGGAAAAAATCTTGCAACCATTGAGCTGAGGGTAGGGCTGGCAAGATGGGTCAGTGGGTAAAGTCACATGCCACCAGGCCTGATAACTCACATGTTGGAGGGAGAGAGTTGATTCATGCAGGTATCCTCTGACCATCCCCCACCCACCCAATGCCCACACACATAAACACAAATAAATGTAATAAAAAGTTTTTTAACTACTTTGAATCCCAAACAGCAATGAATGGAAGTTATGTTGCATTGGCACTATCAGTATTTTGAGTTTAGTTATTCAAACATGTGCAGCGTTATGTCATTTTTGCTTTAGTTTCAGTTCCCTAATGATGGGATAGGCATCTTTCCATCAGTTTTCGTTATTGTTTTGAATTAATGACGATTGAAACTATGTCCTTGAACATACTAGGCAGGTACTCTATTCTGCTATGTTCTTGCCCTTTTTAAATGTTTTGGGGGCAGGGTGTGGTGGTGCATGCCTTTGATCCTAGCACTCAGGAGGCAGCTGCAGGTGGATCTCTTGAGTTTGAGGCCAACCTGATCTACATAGTGAGTTCCAGGCCAGCTGGGGCTACAGGGAGACATGTCTAAGAAAGAACCAAAAAAAAAAAAAAAAAAAGCTTTGAGGGGCTAGAATGATAGCTCGGTGGTTAAGAGCACATACTGCTCTTTCAGAGGACCCGAGATCAATTCTCAACAACCATGTTAGACAGCTCACAACCGCCTATAACTCTGGCTCCTGGGGAATCTGACACTTCTGGTTTCTGTGGGCACCAGCACTCATGTTCATATACCTACATACAGACACCATACACCATAATCAAAAACAATCTTTTAAAAAAGATTTTATTTGTAAAAGTGTTTGGATTGCCTGTATGTTTGCTAGTGTGTGTGTAGTGCCCACAGAGGTTGGAAGAACACGACAGAGCTGACATGTGGGTGATGGGAATTGAACCCAGGTCCTCAGGTAGAACAGCAAGTACTCAACCCCTGAGTCACCTCTCCAGCCTCCCAAAAATCTTTAAAAAATATTTCCTTAAAAAAGGTTTTGAGCTGGGCATGGTGGCACATGCCTTTAATCCCAGCCCTTGGGAGGCAGAGGCAGGTGGATCTCTGTGAATTTGAGGCCAGCCTGGTCTACATAGTGAGTTCCAGGACAGCTGGGGCTACAGGGAAACCCTGTCTCAGACAAAAAAAGAGAGAGAGAAATAAAAATTTTTTTTTTAAAAAAAGGTTTTGAGGTAGTCTTCCTAAGTTGCCTAGGTTTGACCATCTATATAGCCCAGGCAGGACTTCCTTGAACTAGCTTTGTGTCACTCACAAAATGCTAGATGCAGAGTACTAGTGAAAGAGGTCAATTTTGGTCTATGTTTCTGGGGAGGGAAAGAGAGAGATAAAAGGATGCTGGAGCTGGGCATGGTGGCACATGCCTGTGGTCCCAGCACTAAGGAGGCAGAGGCAGGAGGATCTCTGTGAGTTCAAGGCCAGCCTGGTCTACCTAGTGAGTTCCAGGACAGCTGGGGTTTTAGGGAAACCCTGTTTCAAAAAATAAAATAAAACAAAATAATAAAATAAATAACTCTGGAATGGGAAGAATTAGAGGAGGGCAGACACTCCTACCTGGCATTTGTGGGGATCCAAACTCCAGTCCTCACACTTGCTCAGCAAGCCCTTTAGCCACTTAAAAATAT